GCATAGTTTAAATTGTTTACTCTAATAAGAGCTCGTGAATCATTGATGTGACACGAATTTTCTTACTTGCTGCAGGAAAATAATTTGTCATTTTCTTTTTTTACGATTAAAAAACTTTTTTTAAACTTAACAGCAAATTCCATACGAACGTCAGCGACTCTATTCGATAAGATTTTTCTAGAACTCTTGATAGTGAGAGATTGTCTGTTATCAACTAAGAAAATACATAATAAGTCCTTTTGATCGGGTTGACTCTTTAATTTGAGAAGACACTTTGAGCTATCATTCCGTATGGTCAGTCTAAAACCGACGAGCGAGTACTCTTAAAAGATTCAATGTGACAATTATTATAAGACAAGATGTTCAACCAATCGATAAGAATTTATTTTATGATGCTATTCTGCACTCTACTAATTAATTTAAAACGTCGAATTGAACTTTGAATGATTTTTCATTTATTTAAGATGTATTAAATTCGATGTGCATGTGGATGATGTTGTGCTACATAATGGAACAAAAGATCGATCAATTATGTTCATTGTCTATGGTAACTAGAATTATAAATGGATAACTGTACCAATTCGATGTTTGTTCAGCTTTCTCTACGTGGACTATTCAAACTTTCAATATATGAATACAATCTTTCTTCTCTTTCTGTTAGTGATACCGGTTCTAATTTCTCAGAACAAAGTTCAAGTACATAGATAGGTAATGTATCATGTGGATTCATAATAAGGTCCATTACATGAAAACTTGCTCCAAACATGATTAATACTGTATCAAAAATTAATCTAATTAGAACTTCTTTTGTATTCGTTGCAATAAAGAAATATAGTTAATATTAATTAATAAGAAAAAAAAAATCTATTTCTTATTTTCCATAAGTCAGATCTCACTCTCTTCAATAATCAACTTTCGATATCAAGGACAACTTCTATTTATCAAAATCATGTTATGATTACTAATAGTATTCTAACTTTGCATGCATTTTTGCAATCAATATTAATCATAAAAATGATTATTTCTTAATGAAAATATGACCATGTTGTTTCTTGGATAATATTAATAATTATCAAAGAAATCAAAACAAAAATATTTTTTGATATTAATTATTATTTGAAATGTCATAAATAATGACAGTTTGAAAATATTATCGATAATTATCATAGTTACACATGATATAAACGTAATTATAATGTAGCCAAAAAAAAAGAACGATGTGTTTCAAATATTTCATCAAACTATGGTAGAGCAATTGGTTATATTTTATCTACCCTAATAAACAACATTTCTAAGATGTTCTTTTAAAAAACGTATAATCAATGAAGGAGATTCCACTATTTTGAAAATCTAAAATGCAGGGTAATCATCATAATGTGCATTAAAATTTACTTCAAAAAAGATTTTTCTTCATGTTGTGCTACTTGCTAATGTGAATCTATAAGGTTGTGCATAATATGTTTATTGCTTAAGGCTTCTCTCAAAAATCGATCTTAGATCAAGTGCATTCAAATAGCATGAAATTTTCAGCCTTCTATCATACTGTTTTCGGAAGATATTCAACAAACAAATGAAAAGAAAGAGCATGCCAGAGCCATTGACTACAATGAAGTTCCTTCGAGAATTCTTGGATGCGCGATCAAAAAAAAACCATACTGTATCCAACAGAAAATAAAGGAAATTTTTGGAAAAAAGTGAGATACTAAATAAAAAATTATATCATTTATGAAAGATCAGATCTCCGGCTATCTTTCTATGCGTATATATCAATTTTCATGTTTTTGAGGATGGTTGACCCATTTTTTTTAGGTGATGGACTTAACATATAAAGAATAGACTTGTTACTTGATTATTTTGCTCTTACTCCAACAGAGTTGAATTTTCGAAGTCAAATTCAGTAGTGAACTTTTTAAACGGTGTTTAACACAACATTATTTCTTCCCTTTTCCGAGTGTTAAAATCAAAATTTTTTTGATTTTTGGTTTTGTATTGCTAATATAGCTTCGAAGTGTCCTCTTTCGAATGCCATATAAATAAGAGCTTTTCATTGTTCGTTAGTACTTTTATTAAATCTTACTCTCAAAATCCCTGGCAGAAAAACTCGCGCTGTGATTATTCTTTGTATATAAAATTATTGTAATAATAATGAATATTTCTCATTTCAAAGGTACTGAGAGCATGGATCTCTAATATAGTTGAACATGATCAGTTTTTCGATTACTTTTGTTGGACAGGAAACAAGTCATGACACATACAGGAAAGTTTGTTTTGTGTTTTTCTCAAAATCAATTTTGAAATAAAAAAAAAAAGATGAAGTTTTTCTCTCACATGGTAAGCTCGATCGAGCTCAATTTTTTTAAACAAATACTTTCATCAAATTGGAATGTGTATTTTTTTTTTCTTCTTCAAAATGCTGTTCCTATGTAGTTCTACAGCCCTTAAGAGATTAGTACCAGTGCAGAGAAAACATGCATGTCGATTTGATCTTACTTGTCATGAAAAAAAAATTACAGCTCCTAAAAATGAAGTATAGAGTTTTGTGGGGTCGGAGAAAACTGGTGGTGGTTTTTGGCCTTTGCGATTCATATCTCTCCCCTAAGGAAGTATGTAGAAATTTTGAGTCTATAATAACTTTTGTTTTACTTATCGAAATCTATCTGCGTTGAAAGTATCATCATTTTTTTTGTCGAGCCATTCCTAAGAAAACCTTTCCTTGAACTAAAAATATTCGTTTCCATGGACATAATATATCATTAAAAAAATACGTAGGAAGTAAGCTCCATTTATTGAATTGTAAAATGCAGCCAATAAAACGATTTCTTGTGTTTTATTTTACTTTGTAAAAAGTCGCATGTTACATTTTCTATTATTTATCAGTTTAAATATTTGTAAAAGATAAAATGTCATAAAACTTTGCTCACATCCTCTATATCATGTGTTCTGTTTTATTCGCTTTCATTGTAATTAATCAAATATGATAAACTATTTTCGAATCCAAAATACGAAATGTCAATCTCATTTTCTAGTTGAAGGTAGATAATAAAAAAAAGATTATTGTAGATTATCTCTATTTCTTTGTTTTTTTTTAATGATTCACATTTAAGAAATATTTTTCAAAAACAAAATTTTGTGTTTCACATTCGTGTAAAGGATCGGTTTTTTTCTTTTGCTTCGATAACAATAAGATCAATCATTATTCTTGTTGATCGAAGCATACTTTTATTTAATGATAAATAAAATATAACATTGATTTAACCAGTTTTTTTGACAATTTGTACGACATCTTCGTCAAGACTAAGTTAATAAAAGAAAAAAATTTTTCTTTTTATAAGTTAAAAAGAATATATGACACTTACAGTGCATGTTCTTTACCAACTTTTTGTGGAAGATGTTTAACAGAAGCACCCTTTAAAAAAAAAACATTTTAAATTAAAAGAAAAAAAAGAACTTAAAATATGAATTTTACCCAAACAAGTGCATATTTAAAATCTTGTAAAATAGCTCGATGAATTTTATTACAAAAATCTTCAACTGAACTTCGTCCTTGTGTAAGTACAACAGGTGCTGAATAATCTGGTAATTGACCTTTTGGTTTTGTATAAATTCTTACAAGTTTTAAATATACCCACATTTTTTCGAGTAAATCATCAAAATTCCATTTATGATGAGCTGATATAGGTACACAATGAGGTACTTTATAGATAATATCTAATTCTTCAACTGATATTTGATCAATTTTATTTAAAATATATATAGCTGGAACATAAACACGATTGCCTTCAATTAAATCAATAATATCATCCTCAGTTGCATCACAACGTAAAATAATATCCTAATTAAGAAACACAAAAAAAAAAATAGACAACTATATAGAGTATATTTTCTTATGGATTATTCGTTATTAAAAGATCTAACAAGTTTTTTAATACTCTTGAAATTGATATCAGATAATGTCGTTCGATGGGTAACTAACCTAAAGTGATTAGGAGTTATCTATAGAGGACGTTCATTATTTTCTAGAGTTGAGTAGTCCTATTCACTTCGTAATGACATTATCTGCTTATTTTTATTTCATTTTCTGTCTGAGAAAGGCAAATGGTATTTCACGAGAAGAAAAAGCCTCTCTTTCCTAATCAAAAATCCTATTCTAAAAAGAATCTACTTATTTCAATAGATCACTTCCTTTTTATTAAATGATTCATGTGGAATTAAAATGTGAAATACAATTTAGTTGCTGTCAATAATCACAGGGAGATTGTTTTATTCTGTTTATCTTAGGATGCATTTATTAATCATCCTCTTACTTAATGCTTCAGAAATACAATAAGAAAGTATCTCATATATTATAACAAAATGTTTTGATATATGGTCTTTGATCGTATATCAACAACATCTGTCATGATCTGTAAAGACTTAATGCATATGAATGAACTATTCGAACTGATATCCACCGTTTGAACTCGTATTGGATTCACAAGAGAGCTTCCGTAATAGACCCGAGTTATGACCGTTGAGTGAATTTTCGATTCAGCTTTAGGGATTTACTGCAAAATAAAATAATGGTATTTGGATATGAAATTTTGTTCATAAACAGGCCGAATGACTAGTAGAATATCAAGAAAGTCTTAGCCGAAGAGAATGTTCCTTTGTCGAGATATTGGATTTTCAAGTAAACTCGACGAATAAACATTCTTTTCGACCGAAACTTTCAAGATATTCTACTAGTCATTCGATCTGTTTATATGGCGAAATTTCAGATCGAAATGCGGTTATTTGATTACTTGGTAAATATCGAAATCTGAATCGAAAATCCAGTGAAACGGTAATAACTAGACTCCAGAAACCTCATGGGCATGAATCATTTTAGACTTTTAATAATCTCAGCAAGACGTCCTTGAAGATCCAATATGAGCTCAAATGTCAACACTCCTTTTAGATTGTGTTTCACAAAGGACAAAATACCGAAAAATCATCAATAACAAAAAATGAAGTGTCAATATCAATGACACTCGAAAATCTCATATAAATACTCAAGAAAATAATCAACTATCCATGTAGCATAATCTTCAATTATTTCAACATCATATTCATATTCAACTGATTCATTCTATTCAAAAAATATTCTGTTAAACAAACTAAGGCTTCAAACTTTCGCCCGAAAGTTGTGTAAAAAGAAAAAAGAAAAAATATTCATAATAAAATGTCAGGACATTCAAAAATGTTTAATCCTCATCCACAGTGAGAAGTTGTGACTTATTATGTCGATATGAAATCTTGCTTTTATGAATATAAACACTTATTTCGTCTCTACGATTATTACTCATAAGTCTAGTGAACGAATTAAAAGTATAAACAATCATTTTCAAAAAATTCAGTTGAGATCGACCTTCTGGCGAGAAAATCGAAAGAAAAATATTTCTATATAAAATAATTCTATCGTACATAGTTCGATACAGTTTCTCACATTGATTTTGAATGTGATCTTTTTATTGAATAAAAACTTTTCTGAGGTCGAAAGAATTTGGAAAATACAGTGAAGAAAAAGAAAATTTTATTGTTAGAAAAGATCAGTAATAATTGAATACTTAAAATTTTAACGCTATTAAATAGTCTACAGTCCAAAGTATGTGTAACATTGTTTGAATTTTGCAAAACTATGCTTTCGATTTTTCGCACAATATCCACTTTTACCTGGACGCTGTTTATGAATGGTCTCTTATCCATCCATCTTAATACTCATCCACGAAATTGAAGTTTATTACCTTCCATTTATAATCAATCATAGTTGTTAGTTAGGAAAATAGGATTTACATGAATCATACATAATCAGTAATAAACTAAAAAATATATGTTATTAAACTCTTTCGTTTACAATATGGGTAATTTGATTATGTTTCATATCTAAATCTGAGAAGAATGTAGCTGTTTTAAAACTTTTGAATTTTACTTCATGGTAATTTTTTCGCTAGGCAACTAAACTAAAGTTGAAAGAGTGCTTTGAATATGTACTATGAGTCATCATTATCCAGGGGCGTCCCGAAGTCACTAGATTAAGTTTATGAAATGATTCAATTGTGACGTAATATATATAATTCTTACTTACAGCATTATGTATTTTATATTCTCCAAGTATAGCTTTAACTGTTTCAAGATCAAGTGATGTTTGTTGTACTAATGCTTGATAATTTAATCCACCTTTATCTTTACGTTTAAAATAAATATTTGGTGGTTCTTTATTTAAACGTATACCAAAACCTTCAAGTTCATATTCAATTAAACGTTTATGACCTAATGGTTTAAGTACGTCAAGTACAATAAATATTAGATTACATGTTCGAGCAACTAAAAAAACAAAAAATAAATTGAATATTTTATAAGAAGAATTTTTTTGTAATAAAAATATACCTGCAATAACTTGTTTACCACGACCTTTACCATCTTTAGCTCCTTCAATAATACCGGGTAAATCAAGTAATTGAATTTTTGCACCTTTATATCGTATAACACCAGGTACTGTTGTAAGTGTAGTAAATTCATAAGCTGCTACTTCACTATAAACACCAGCTAAATTTGTTAATAATGTACTCTAAATAATCATAAAGGTTATTTTCTTTTTTTTTTTTTTATAAAGATTAAAAATATTGTAAGACATACTTTTCCAACTGATGGAAAACCAACAAAACCAATACGAGCATCACCAGTTTTAGCAACATCAAAACCTTCACCTTTTCCACCACCACCACTACCTTTTGGATCAATTAATTCACGTCGTAATTTAGCTAATTGTGCTTTAAGTAAACCTAAATGACGTGCTGTTGCTTTATTTTTTTGAGTTTTTTCCATTTCGGCTTCAATATCGGCTATACGTTCAAGAACACCCATGATTTTTAATTATTTTTTTTTCTCTTTGTCTTGGTTAAATCTAAAAAATATTTAATTATTATAAAATTTTAACTTTTTTTTTTTACATTTTTCAAATTTAAATATTGATCGATATCAATATTAATTTTTATCAATTTTAAAATATAAAAATAACATCTACGTAATAATGCAGATGTGAATGTTTTCTCATGAGTTATTCGAGAGGATGTTAACGAGTAACTTTATGTAAGAAATATCAATAATATTCTATTCGATTCTAAATATAAATACATATCATCTGATGAATTAAAAGAACAAAATAATAACATTTGTACTCTAGAAAAAAAACAAATTGCGAAACGAATACGAAATATTTTAATTTATTTTTTTTTATCAAACAAACAAAGAAAGGAAGAAAACAAATTCATTAGTCGCTTGAAACTTTCCAAATACGTCGATTCTAGAACCTTCTAATAATTGCATCACTATTAATACACATATGAATAATCATTTCATATCAAATTACTTCAAACTAAATAAAATATTATAAATTTAATTATTATTACATATGATATTATTTCATGATCAATTTTTTTTTAAATCTTTAATTAACAAAAAATATAAAAAATCGAATATATTTGTCTATTTTTACATAATATGCAAAAAAAAAGGAAGGCATGGCTTAATATTTCGTTCGTCCTTTTCATGTCCGCCACGTACGTGTTACTACATCAAAAGTAACAACAGAATGAATGAGTAAAGTACATATAAAATGACTCATCGATTATTATTTCAGATAAAAGGAGTAATTTTTCTAGTTTTGTGTTATATTATTTTCGTATAAACAACAAAGAATGTTGATAGAAAAAGCAACAAACGCCCAATCACAAATACAACTTATACCATATTCAGGAATTGTTAATCCTGAACATATGAATCAAATGAATTGTGTTCCAAAAGTGAATACAGATGATAATGTAGATGATGATATTAATCATTTGGAAAATTTATTTATTGAAGATTTTATTCGAAAATCAAAAGATTTTCGAGATAATGAACAAATAAATTCATTACCAGTTGAAATTCGTCTTGGTACTGTTTATACATATCAAAATCGTCGACAACAAAATCAATATCCAAATAGTCTTTATTATCGAACTATTAGTGCTCAATCATTACGTAATGAAGAACGTCGACCACGTAAAGATAAAGATTTTTTAATAACATTTAATAAAAATAAAGGTATTAATAATATTCAAATGTTTGAATATGAATTAACATGTGCTGGTTTTCGTTCAACAAATGATTTACAATTAACATATCGATTATATTTACGTTATCAAACAAAACGATTAATACTTGAATTAAAACGTAATACAAATGATGAAAGATTTTTTTCTGTTAAACGTTTATTAAAATATTCAACAAAATATACACATATTGATGTTGTTAAATCAAAATATAATACAAATTATCCAGAAACATTTGATGATATATTTGATATTCGTACATCAATTGGTAAAGTTGATGAAGAAGAATTACATATAAATGATGATTATTGTAATTTTATTCATATAAAAGATCTTAATCAATGTGTTTTTGAAACAAAATCAAATAATGGTAATTTAATTTATCAATTTAATCGAAATTTATTACCATATTTTGATTTTTTTCAAATAAAACAAACAATTATTTATGATTATTCATGTATGGATAGTCGATTTTTTGGTCTTCGAGTTTTAATTGAACATCAAACTGGTTATGATTTATGTTCAAGTTCAAAAACAACAACACCATGTCTAGAAACAAATAATGTTATTATGGCAAAATTACTTTCATTTGATTTTACAGAAGATGAAGCAAAACGTATATGGACAATTGGTACATGGCTTTCAGATTTAGCAACACAATGTACAAATCAAGATTTACCAAATAATAAAATAGTTTGTCGTCGACCTGGACAAATGAATTCTTATCGACATACAGTCAGATAAACTCATACCTTTCATTCTCAGATCTTTTCTGTGACTCGTTTTTGTCTGTTGATTCCAGAAAAAAAAAATTCTGCAATTAAATTAATAAATAAACTTAACTCAATCATGATAAACTAATAGTTATCATCTTCGCATTTCTTTAGACAAAAAAAAAAAAATAATAATAATTAACTCTAAATAAAACAAGATAGGATAAATTATTTCGATAAATTTTTATTTTATTTATTTAACGCACAGATCATCACACATTTCTTTGGACAAAAAACAATAACAAAGAAAAAAAAAGTGGAATAAAATCAGTATAATCATAATCACAATGTACAAATATGTGCGTCTTTGTTTGCTTGTTTGTTTGTTTTTTGTTCTTCTATAAAGAATCAATTAATTTGAATAAAATTCACTGTTATGTACTGTATGGAAAGTTCTTCCAGTGAGAAGAAAATAGTACAAAGATAAGAGAGAAAAAAAAAACACATACACAACGATTTAAATAGTAAAAGTAGAAATAACAATAAACACTAGACGAGTAGGAAATAGCTTTAGAATTAATAAAAAGATTGGCAAAAAAAATCAGTTTCTTTTTTTTTCGATTATTATTATTATTATTATTATTATTATTCTCAAATTTTTTCTTTTTTTGTTTATCCATCGAAGAAAATTTACAAACGATCAATAAGATCATGTTTTTCTTTCATAGACATATGAGCATTTTTTGGTAAATCACGTTTACGAACATTTTGTGATTTTAATTTTTCTCGATATTCAGCTGCGGACATTTCTAAAATAAAAATTACAGTTTTAAATTAAAGAAAAAAAAACAAAAACAATATTGTTTATTCTTACGAAGGTCAACTAATCCTCCGGATCCATTACCAGATGATGATGATTGAGATATATTTGTACCTGTAGATTTAGCATAGGAAATTTTTTGCACAATATTTTCATTATGTATTCATACTACTATCGGCGGCGCTAGAAGTCATGGAACTCAAATATTTTGTTGGAATGAAACACAAAGGCTTCCAGTTTTTAGTGGTCGATAGTCAATACTCTGAAGATCGATATTTCGGAGAATCTTTGAAAAACCATGTTGTATTTCTGAAAATTTCACATGTCAACCTATTGATGTTTTTCCATAGGTATATAACCTTGAGTATCTTCTACAGGATTAGATCCAAACAAAAGTTAATTTTTGCTCAGGTCATGAGTTTCTGACGTTTTCCAGAAGCGCTAAGGCTTCCAGATATTTCGGTCAGGCATCTTAAGAAAGATATAAAAGACTAATTTATCGATTAGACTGTCTCTTGAGAGTACGTTAGCTTTCGAAAAAAATGCAACTATCATACGAAACTCTACAGTAAGTCAGCTAAATGATTTTTGATTATTACCATCAAAACTGGAAAACATCATAATTCTGTTAAAATAGATACGAACTGATGCAAAGAATCAAAATACAATCCATTTTTTATGCTTCATATCACCAATCTTAAGAGAGACTTTAGAAATCAGTAGAAAATACTTTCGGTTTTGATAAGTTTTTCAGAACCCTTGTTAGCTCTAAGTACAGAATCATCCGCAATATATAAAATGAAGTATAGTTTAATTTTTTGAAACAATTCGGATGCATTTTGACAGAATTATATTGCGTTTTCATGCCTGATCGAAACCTATAGAAACTCTAGTGCTTGTAAAAACCAATCCGAAATTCGTGATCTAAGTAAAAACTAACTTTTGCTTGGATCTAATCCGTTAGAGAACACATTCAAGAGACTATATACTTACAAAAAAAAATCAATAGATTATTATGCCAACTTCCAGAAATACAACGTATTTTTTTCAAAGATACCTTAGAGTCTCGGCAATCGATCGTTAAAAACTACATGGCATTATCTTGCATATCGAGTGAATTATTCAAAAAAAAAAACATCCCAATAGCTTGACTTCTGACGCCGAATGTAGTATAAATATTCACTGAAGTAAATTCTTTACGTTTATTTCTGGCTGGAGTAGAATGAGCTGATTGGGTACTAGTTTCATGATCATTAGAATTCATATAATTTTGATTGGATGCTCGTGATGTCACAGGTGAATCAACACTCTAAAAGAAATATTCTTAGAGAAAATTACTAGAATAATTTCAAAAAGTTATTAGCACAAAGAAGAAATTAAAAAATTTAATGATTCTGCTTTAGAGTTCGCTGAGTCTAAAATTTTCGAATTCGGATTCAGAACCTGCTCTGGAGGTTGTAGTCTGCTTAGAAAATTTTAGCAATAGTTTTTTATTATTTCGTGTCATTTTTTTATGTTTATTAGAAAATATCAAGTTTATCTAATACATTTTGTTTTTTGTATACTTGTATCATTTTTTTCAGGTGTGTGTAAAAATAGAAAAATATATCTGGAATAATGACTAATTAATATCATTAAATGTAAAGGAATGAAAGTAAAGCAAAAAAAAAAGTGAATTACAAGGAATAACTTTTCTATTAGCATAATATTTCTTACTCTAGTTTGTGTGACTTGTGGACGGGTAAAATCAGTAACATGTTTATAGTCCCGATCAGATTCATTTGGCTTTTTTTGTTGTGATGTTTGTCGTACAATAGGTGAATCAGTTGTTTTGTTAATATGTCTATCCGATGAATAAGGTGAATCATTTGTTTTGTTAATATTTCTGTTCGATGAATAAGGTGAATCATTTGTTTTGCTAATATTTCTATTTGATGAATAAGGTGAATCATTTGTTTTGTTAATATTTCGGTCCGATGAATAAGGTGAATCATTTGTTTTGTTAATATTTCTGTTCGATGAATAAGGTGAATGATCACTATGATCTATTATATAAAAGAAAATGTAAATATTAATATTTATTTACAAAATCTAACTTGTTTCATCTGGATTTTTTGTTTCACATTTTTCAACATTTGGATCTGAACTTTTAACAACTATTGATTTACTTTTATAATATTCATCAGCATCTGGATCAAGTACTAATAAAATAACTTCTTCAGGATATTTTGTACCATTTCTCGTTACACCTTCTTTTATTCTTTGTACAACTTGTTTATGATTTTCATTTCCAATAGGAGCAAAATTAACTTCAATTATACGATCTTTTTCACGTAAACCAGCTGAAACAGCCGGTGAATTTGGATCCACTTTACCAATATATTGACCAGGTTTAGATTTTTCTGAATGTAAATTAAAACCATAACCAGAAAAATCTGGCCACCGATGAAGATGACATAAACGTGGTCGTGGTTCCTTCACGCCTAAACCGTTACTTGTCATTAAAGGAATTTTGAAAGATATATTAAAAAATAAAAACAATCTAGAAAACAAAAATTAATAGGTACACATAAATAAAGATTAATCTTGATACAAATATATGCGGGTACATACAATCATCCGAAAGTAAATAAAATATAAAAATGATTGCTCTCCTTCTATAATATAAATCATTAAGAATGTAAAATGATCTATTTCGTCTCTTTATTTTTTTTCTCTCAATATTATTTAATTTGTCTATGTTTTTTCAATAAAATAGACAAAAAACATATTTATCATATTATATATATTCGATTTGTTTTTTTCATAAATGATCTAGGGTTTTGTTTTTGTTTTTCATTTTATTAGAAAACAAAAAACAGAGTAAAAAAACAAAAAAAAAATACTTTTTGATTTATACGGCAAGTAACTGTCGACTAAAACGAATGTCTCTTATAAGCGATTACAATACAAATATGTTCAGTCGTCTATGTTGATGTTGGCACCTCCTCTTTTTTTTCTTTCTTTGTCTCCTCCTACTTTACATGATCATAGGACATTCGCTCATTAGAACAATATTGCTACAAAGAATAACAAAACAAAACAAAATGAAAATGACTGCATTGTTCATATGTTCACTCTGTACACACAGATAGATGAACAAGTCATGAAACAAAAGAAGAAGAAGAAGAAGAAGAAGAAGAAGAAGTACGACTATTCCTACTTTCAAGGTGCACACATACCTACTCCATTCGACATGTTATCACTACGCCATCTTCTTTCTTTATTTATTCGAACTAACCATCCATAGGAATGATAGAAAAGGATGAAAATGAAAAGTAAAGAAACTAATAAAAAGCAGGTTGTTTCGTATTGGCATAACGCGTGTATGTTATTTTAAAACTAAGAAAAAAAAAAACAAAACATGCAAAACGCATTACCCGTTTCTTCTCTCCACACAGACACCGGCTGAATAAAGAAAAAGAAAAAGGACAATGACGATGCGAAAAAAGAAATAACACCATACACACTTCTTTCACGGCAGCTACTCAAAAATAACGATAGTTGAAAAAAGAAAAAAAAAAGAAAAAAAAAGAAAATTATTATCAGTTTTTCTTGTTGTTAATAACACGAGAAAAAAAACAATGAAAAACATCTTTTAACTTTTAACACTTCAAAAAATTATTTTGTTGTTCGTAAACTTTTGTTTTATAATGTTCAGAGTCAATAAACGAATATAAAAACAACTGCACGCACACATACACACACATACAAATATATATGATTGTCTTAAAATAGGTTTTTTTTTTTTTTTTTTTTTTATTTTTTTCCACGTAAAAATTTACCATATGCTGATTTTGATTCAAATAAACTACGAATAGTTACAACTTGAATAATCGATACAGCTATCATAAGAAATAAATGAACCATTGACCAAAAATTAACACGTTCAAAATTGTTTTCAGCTATAACACGATCATGTACTTCATAATTATTAAATACTCTTTGATAACGTTGAGCACTTTCCATATTATCCCAAATACGTTGGAAAGTATCCTAAGTTGAAATGATTATAATATTTCAAAATTCAGATTATTTAAATTTAACATATATTTATAAAATATCAAAAACAAAAAAAAACTACGCGCGTTGCATGTGCATCCTTATGAGTTTAATATATGACATTATTTTTTTTAAAGCAACACCTGTCAAGGTTAACTGATAAAATTACAAAGTTTTCATAGTCTATAGAATAATTTCAAGGTTCTTATCAAATTCATTGTACAATTGTAATCAGTGGGAATTTGAATATAGATTGTATCTAATGAACTCGCTGCTATGATGGAGTAATTATATTGTTTGACATATACACGAAAAGCCTGGTGCTTGAGCCTTAGCATCTATGGAATACTAGCTCTTGAAATTAGTCAGTGTATAGGAAGGTAGCTGAAAGGTAAAAGTGTTCTTCCTGATAGTCTCGATTTATGGAATCTTCAAAAAATGTTTTCGTAAAATTCTAGAAATTGAATAAATTTTTTTTAATGCTTTAGAATTAATTCTGAGTTCTTGATTGTGACAACCGGATTATAACATATCTAAAAGTATTAGACGAGTTTTTGTTTGAAATTATGGTTTCTAACAATATGTAATCACTGAATTGTTCACACTGCCACCTGTTTGAATCATATGGGTACTTCCCCAACGAGAATATAATGAATCTTTTTAGATTATTAAGACAACAAAAGGTAACTATAATCCATTTAAAAAAAAAGAGTCGTAGGTATTTTTTGAATAAATTTTGATAGAGACCTGCAGTTTTCATTATTACAAAAAGAAGATTCAGGCACATAAATACATGCCAAAATATGATTGGTCAACATCGAACCAATTAGACTAATTCTTAAACGATACTCTGAACCCATTTTTCGGTTGATCTTGATTGTAAATATGATCAATAGATGTGAACCATTTCTGATACTGTCATCTTAATATTTGTGACATGTAGACTTATTCTGCTACATAGCGGCAGATTAGTAATCTTTGAAAATACTGAAATGATAGTATCAGATTGTTTCAAATCCAAAACGAAATATCATCATGATAAATTATCCCTGCCTAGATGCTTTTCCAAGTCATCCCCTGTTCATTGACTGAAATCAAGGATCTTTAGAAAATCCTTATAACTCTTGAACGGAACAAGCTAACAATGTCAGCCTTGTGTAGATCGAAAGAGAACAAATTTTGCTATCTATTGTTTATATTAACAATCAAGGTCAACTGAAAATGGTTTCAGAATATCGTTTTTTAAACTGTTTATCAATAATTAATCTGATTGATCCTGCATTGGCTAGTCATATTTCAGCATGTATTTATGTACCTGGATCTTCTCGTTGGAATGATAAAAACCGTAGCTCTCTATCAAAATTTATTCAAAAAATACCGACGACTCTTCATCAAGGCTCTCAATTGTTTTTGAGAGTGGAGGGAGGCGGGCTGACACTTTTCATAAATTTTCGCAGATAGTCCGTTAATGAAAACTTTTCAGAAATAGTTATCGAAAATTTCCTAGTTTTTCATAAAAACTGGTGACCGGATCCAAAAGGGGGGAGTAGCTTGAGAAGATCCCCCCCAGCAGCGTCTTCTTAAAAATTAACCAGACAGTAAAACAGATTTTCAATTCGTGCGGGAGGGCCAGCCCCCGTATCGAGAGCCCTGCTCCTCATGTTTGAAAGGAATAATAGTAATATCGAAAATTTTTACTATGATTTAAAAATACTTCAATATACATATACAAATTTATATTTATAAATTAAAACTTACTTTAAAATGTTCAATTTTACTTTGTAAATCACCAAGATCATCACGATCAACATCTTTCATCCATGGTTCTGTAACATGATCAACTTCACTATTACCATGTTCATCAACAATTCTTAAACTAAAATAAACTTGTTTTTGATGAAAACGTGAAAGTGAATTATCAAAGCAAAAACGATATTCTCCTGTTTCTTCTAATTTTAATGTTTGATGACCATCACGTTTTTTAAAATCTGATTGTAAAACACGATTTGTTGGTGAATAAAACCAATAATTTATATCAATATCACCACCAGCTAATACTTCATATTCAATTTCAATTGTTTTACCTGCTGGTAATATTTCATGAAAACATTCACGTTGATTAGCTGAAATAAGTATAGTTAATTCAATATCAATTGTATATATTGGAATAATTAATATTAAAAGAATAAGATATTTATAAAACATCTAAAAACAAAAAACAAATATTTTTCTTTAGGTTCTTTTTCTTTTTTTCTTTTTTTTATTATTATTATTATCATCATCATCATCATCATCTAAATTATCAAGTAAAGAATGTTTTTTAATCATTGTTTCAATACTTCGTTTCCATTGGTCTGGTCTTGAACAATATGCTATTAAATTCATTTCATATGTTATAAATTTTGCATATGTATGTGAACGAAGTAATTGTAAATCATTTGACATACTTTTAGCCATTTGAAGTTTTTGTTCAATTGTTTTAGCATTTTTCCATAATTGTGTTACAAACCAACAAGCAGATTTATCACAAGCCATTTTTGTATAGAATTTATCAAGTTTATTATAGAAATTTTTTTCTTGAAGTTTTAACCATAAATTTGATTTAAGAATTAATTGACAAAGTAAATAAGAACCACTTGGATGACAAGCTATAGATGATATTTGTTCTCCAGTTAAAGAAATAAATGAACGAGATGTTAATGAATCAATTTTTTTAGCACGAAGAAGTGCTTGAACAACAAGTGAACCTTCTTTTGTTATTATTTGATTTTCAGGATTTTCTAAAAATAAAAAGTTAGGAAAAAACTTTTAAAAATTACCCTTTTGAGGTAGAACTTTCAAATAATCAAGATCACTGGTTGAGATAGACAGCCTAATACGTCATTGTTTCTTCAAGAGAACTAAGACTCAGAAGTAAAACCAGAAGTTTTGCTCATAACTCCTAGCTATGCCCTATCGAACCATCATATCTTCAGCCGGAAAGACTTTTTAGTAACTCGCGTGGTTTCTCGTTAGAGTTTATTTCTGTTGACATGTTGCATTTTTCAATAGAATGTCGTAGTCGCACTCGGGAAAACTAATTTGTGAATTTCGACGTGCAACTTGTACATAGAAATAAGTCTTAACGAGAATAGGTTTTTGTGAATATCGCTGTTCCTATCAGAAGATATAACTATGGTAATCGTGTATCTTTTATAAATCGGCAGATTTGATATTTTTATTTCAGAATAAAAACAAATCGAAAGATCTGAAACTTTCATAATAAGCTACTCTTGTTAAGGCAAGTCTCGCCTCAAAAATCGATCTCAGATTCGAAATATTCAAATTGCATGAAATTTTCAAGATACGTTGGACCTGATGTGGAAAAGCTATGGTAAAATTGCTTGTATTTAGAGCTAGCTCTTCTTAAATTCTTACTTTTTAAGCGAAGAAAAGGAATGATAAGTTCAATGACTACAAAAATCCCTAACAAAAATGATACTGTTTCTATATAGAGATGTTTTCTTATATGATGATAAAAAAGCTTATTTTAAAAAATGGACCATGCGAAGGGCTAGTCCTAAACATAAGCTTTCAAACCAAAAACTAGTTATTGGCTACAATGAAGCTGCTTCGAGAATTCTTGGAATTACAATCGAAAACCTATAAAACGAGAAAAGAATGTAAAAAGATTTTTGGTTTTTTTCAAAAACAGGGAATGGCAAAAATTTTCGAAAATCTCTGGAAAAAACGAAATGCCGAGTAAAAATTTTTATCGTTTACAACAGATCAGATTACGGGATATCTTCCCCCTATATTCATCTTAAATTCGGTCATTCTGACGAAAAGTGACTTTTTTTGAGATGGTTAGCCTTAAGTTTTGTCTCTATGCAAAGTTTCCAGGCGAAAATCAGTTTTTCTGTTACTACGTCATTCATTTAAAAAGATTGTAAAAGTGTCCCTAGTCGACACTCCCTAGAAGAATCCCTGGAGGAGTTAAAAGGGGATTCAGAGATTCCTCAGGGACTTCGCGAGGATTTTCTAGGATATTGATGAGTATTATCAGGGTCGCTTCGGAAGTTACCATTGGAATTCTCTGAAAAATTCCAACTTATGAAAATTTTAGAAGGACTCCCTAAAATTTGGGAACTTCTAGGGGAGTTTTAAGGGAATCCTGACATATGCAACTCCTGTGAGGACTCACGACAGGGATTTTGTATTTTTCAGGGGACTCTCCGGTGATTTCATTGGGTAGAGTCGACTAGGAGCAGTATCTCCGCAGCAATAAGCTAACGACGAAACCATCCGAGATGATACCCCAATCATTAAAAATAACCGTGCCAAAGTTCTTGTCCAGTAGATTATTTTGATATTTAAGATTCAAATTATTTTTTCAAAATCGAACAAATATTAAAAATTACCTGCTCTTAATTTTAATAAACAAGGAATAAAATCATTAATATTATTTTTATTTTTATTAATAAATTTATTTAATCGATTAATAAGTTCTTCATAATGACAATGAAATCTTTCACATATACGAATAAATGTAATTAATAAATGTATATGAGTTTGTTGAATAAATTTATTAAATCTATTTTCATCAATTATTAATGGATAAATTTTTTCAATTAATTCATTATTATTTAATGTTAATAATAAATGTTTAAAAAAAAAATTTCCAATTGGATGTAAATAAAATTGATCAATATCATTTAAAAAAATTGAATAAATTATTTCATCACGTTGTTTTGATGAAAATTCTAAAATAACTTCAAATATAAATGATGAATGTTTATCTAATAAATGTTCAATATTTAAATTTGTATAATATTTTTTATATAAACGATTAATTAATTTTTTATAAAATTCTTTATTAAGATAACCACATGTACGTAATAATGTTGCATATACAAATTCATTATAATTTTGAGATTTTTTAATTAATTTTATTATTTGTTGTAATTTATCCATTACATTCCATTCTGATGATAGATGAAAAAATTCTTTTTCTGTTTGACCACCATCAATTAATTCTTCATATTCATTATTATTATTATTAATATCATTTGAAGAAATTAATGGATGAAGAAATGAAATTGTCGATGCTATTATATGACTTGTACCAGTTTCTTGTATATAATCATGAAAATTTTCACATATACATTCAAATAATCGATTAAATCCTATACGTATTTGTTCATTTTCTTGAGATAAAATATTTGGTAAATAAACAAGAAGTTTTTCTAATACAAAACATGCTGAACGATCACGAATAAGTTCATCTAAATGATCTTTTGATGTTAAACGATCAAAAAATATTGTTAAAATTGAATATGATGTAACATATGGTAATAAATTTTCTAATTCACGTGAACATCCATTTGTTATTTTAATTGTATCTGATGTTGTTGATGTTATTTCTTCAAAAACTTTATTTGCTAAATCATGACGATCATTATTTGAAGAACATTGTTGAAAAAGATTATATGCTTCTTTATAATATTTTGTATTCGATGATAATGCTGACATTCTAAAATAATTTAGCAAATTTATAATAATGAAATAAATATTATTTAATGAATCTGTTTTCTTTTTTCTTTTGAAAATATGATATATACAATACTTCCATATTTAACCAATCTATTAGCTTATGGATAGTAGCAAGTCTTTTGTTTCGAAAGGTAACGCTAGTTTGATCAATAGTTTATGATTATGTATATATATATATATAATGAGTCATTGAATTAGAAATTCATTAGTATATTTGGAATAGAACTTATTTTTAAAAGTTGTTATTAATAAAATATGAAATACATTATTGATTTAAAATATTAAATTCTTCTGATCAACTAAAATTTGGAAATTAGCGACATCTCATATTTGTACAGTTCTTGAGTAAAATATATTATACTCTTGCTAATATGCAAGGTTACCATATTTTCTGCTTTTTCATATGAGAAACTTTAGTTTATTTTTTATTGAAAAATTTGAGGCAATAAAATCCATTACTATGGTATAGATTGTGTTAGCTGTATAGAACGACTCCAACTTTCTTTTTGTGTCTGCAAACTTCAAGGTGATGTTGGTTGAGCCTTCAAAATACATTGATTTGTATAAAATCTATCAAAGAATAAAATTTACAACGCACAAAAACTCTGATGTAAGTCTCTAGTTAGCTATCTTTTACAGTCTATTTTTTGTTTATATGATTCATTCTGTGTTCTATTACGATATTACTGAAAGTTTTTTTTCGGAGACGGTATAGATGTCCAATGAGTTTTGCAATCAAATATCAGTCGATTCACTCAGTGCAGAAATATAGATTCATTGAAATACTTCAAAGTCACACGAACATGCATACACATTTGTTGTCTGAAAACTAGTTTCTAATCGAAATCGATTGAAAGGATAAATGCAACTGCTTGTGAAAAAATGATGTGCTTAATAAAATATCCATCTTTTTCATTTATCATTCATTGTGTTTTGGAGCTTTGCGTATAAAGAAGAATCATAGAGAGAAGAAAAAGTTATTTAAACTGATAGGAATGTGAAAGTTTCATAGAAACAGATTTCCACAATTTTCTGTCTTTTGACTTTTTGTTTTCGTTTTTTCGCGCTTTTTCTGACTGAGCTTTCTGCTTTTCTGAATTAACGAGGTGGCAACCCTGTTAATATATCACTGTAGTGTAGCCGTGATCTTTGGAATGAATAGAAATTTTCTCATTCATAATTTTTCCAATTATAGTTCAAAAATTCTTACTACTTTGGTTATGCTTATATTTCCGTGACGATAATCAGTAGGAAGCTCAAATTCTAGAATAGAATATATCTAGATATCTAGTATACATACTGTGAATATAATCCTCTTTCACTCTAGGCAGATGTTAGAAAAAAATATTGCGTGAAGGAATCAGAACGTATTTTACATCTTTTATGTAATAAATTATAATGAAGAACAGTGATTGCAATTTGTTTTGATAAAATAGTTTGATATCGAAGTGATTTGATAAAATATATTACGACTATTTTTTTTTATTTGCTGCATAAAACTGGTGACCTCTATCGGATCCTGTCAGTACGTGGCTCATAGATTACAAAATATCACATATAAAAAGATAGTGATGTAACAGCAGAAAAGAGAAATAGAAGTAGAGATAGAGAAATACAAAAAGACAAGATCAGTCGACGTTGTTGTAAAGAATAAAAGAGAAAGAAAAACATTTAATGCTTTAAATATTAACTTCAAACACAGTTAATACACATGTGAAAAAAAATGATAACAAATATAATACGTACCTAACTATTAGGAAGTAGAGAGTGTCATAAAAAGGTATGGTAACGTTAAAATATTTCAGGAAATTCTTTTAGCGTTAGTAGGCCAGAAACACAAAATTCCGGAATAGAATGTTGCACCGCGTTATTGGCACACCATTCTAAAGCTTTTGATAATACTGAAGTATGCTCAATAAATCTTTTAGATTTTCTCAAATTAGGAATAGCATATTCTTTTTGTACCCAGCCATTTCTAAATACATTCCAATTCAATACTTCCATTAAAAGTACTGCGTCCTTCGAGTCACTGAAAGCACTTAGATATTGATCCCAGTATTTACTACATCTATCTTCTAAAGATATTTCATTATATAAAAAAGTAAAAAACGTATCGCTTCATTTCCAGTCATATAATATCCTTTTCAAGCAATTATAGTAAAAATGTGAAAGATCATCTCTTTGTTTACTCGTAAACAATGGAAAGACTGCAAAAACTCAAGTATGGGCATGGATGTGGATGATCAACAAGAGAAGATTTACACCCACACGCTCCATTCAAGAGTTATAAGGGTTTTCCTGAGACTCCCCTTTTTTTTTTAACTTATCGACCAAGAATCACTCAGAAAAAGCATCTTGGCAGCAGTAATTCAGCATGCTGAGTTGAATGGTGGTATTTGTCTTTAGACCCGAAATCACTTAGCACTGTTGTCTCAATATTCCTGAAACGTCGACTCATTACGCTATATACCGCCAGATTGTGAAATTTTGGTATTATTGAGATAATAGAGTCAGATCATTTCAAACCGAAAAACGATTTTCACCAGTCAACTCAGCATGATGAATTACCTCTTCCTAGATACTTTTCAGGGCGATCCTAGGTCGATGGACTGACTTTGGGGGTCTCAGGAAAACTCTCATAACTCTTGAATGGAGCAAGCTAGCAATGTCGGCCTTGAGCAGATCGAAAGAGAACAACATTTCCTATCGAACGATCACATTAATAATCAAGAACAACTGAAAAATGGCTCCAGAAAATCGTTTTCAAAATTTTCATCAACAATTAATCTAATTGCTTTATCGCTGACCAATCAAATTTCAGCACGTGTTTATGCGCCTAGACCTTCTCTTTACAACGGTGAAAACTGCAGCTCTCTATCTTGTTCCTATCAAAAGTTATTCAAAAAGCAAACGATGGCCTTGTATTTTGGAATGGATAGTGGTTCCAAAGATCATTCGTAAAACTCCCAAAAACCTTCGAAAATCAAAACTATTTTTATGAATTCGTACATTAGACAAATCAGGCAACATGCTCATATGTTTATCTCAAAGATGATTTTTTTGACGAAAATCGACTTTTCTGAAGGGGGGGGGGGCTTAAATTCCAAACATTTCAACAGTTGTACATTTTGTCTTTCTAAAATGCATTTGAGATCGACATCATTAATTCGACCATTCTGTTCAATATTTAATTTTAAGATAAATTGAACCATATTCAGCATTGTCTCTGATAGTATTTGGATATCTCCTCTATTACTTTCTTCTTTCGTTTCTAAAATTTGAATTTTGTTCATAGTTAGGATGTCGGCTTCAACCTTCTTTTTCATTAATTCTTCAAATGTGTTGGTTTTTAATACTAGATCTTCAATCTTTTTATTAATTTTCAACATATTATCATTTAGAGCATCTAATTTCTGTACTAATACGTTATTAGGTCTGACAATATTTAAATTTTGTGGAGTCGGCATGAGTGGGAAATTTGCAGGATTATACGCATAATTATGATTATCATTAATAAATGAATGAGTTTGGTTTGATTGGGTATAAGCTGTCGTAGTTAACAATTTTTTCGTCAAATTTGCTCGAAATTGTTTAATAACCGGACAGCTCATTGCATTAGAGTTGTGATTGCCATTACAGTGTATGCATTTAGCTGTCTTAGAATAAATATGTTGTTTCAAATCATGACAAACTTCTCCACAAATTTTATATGTATCATTGTCTTCCTTACAATTTCTTCTAAAATGACCCAATCCTAAACATTTTGAACAAATGAGTACCATTGCCGGAGCAAGATACTCAACCACATTATAACATAGAGCATTAACCACTACTTTACTCAATTCAATTAATTCATTTCTATCCTTGGTTGATATCAGTTCGATTTTAATTACACGAATTTCCTTCTGAAATTTATTTTTCATACGTATAACATTTTTAATAGATGGATACTTTTCTTTAAGATCATTTGTGAAATCATTAAAATCTAATCTTAAATCGACATTTTTTATTAATAATGATAACTGAGCCGAGTTTGACGGTTGTATAACAATAGTATAATTACTATTGCTTAGCATTCTCGGCCAGTTAGCATCGTTATAGAGGATGCAAAAGGAATTGCTATCTTTGACGAGTAACAACAGATCACATTCATTTGAACAAAATTTTGCTGTGGACCGACGATATCCCGCAAATTCAACTACTTCGTTCTTATTATGATTAATAAAATCGATCAATTCTTCAACAATTTTTTGTTCATTGATGCTCGTAACATAAAATCTAATAATAAATGGAGTAAAAAGATGCCTTGCCATAGCATAATGTTTCAGATTGTATCGTAATTTGATTATTGTTATTTATAGTGTTAGCGTTATTCATATTAATATTATTATCATTATTAGGATGTTTAATTAGAAACATATCAGGAGAAGCACTTAAAAGTTATTATTGATTATCAACATTATCATTATTAATTATAGTATTAATACTAAACTTCATTCTATCATTCTTTTTTTCATTTTGTTTAACTTTTTTATTTTTATTTTTACTTTTAATTAATGTAAAATCATCTTCTGTATCATAAGATAATGCACGTCTAATTGATGTAGAAGATAAATTCAATTGTTGTACATTAACAACTGATGTTGGTTAAACATAGGGTTGATTTTGACAAATATTCACATTACATTTAGACATAAGTTCATGAATGCAACCATTTTGTTGTTGAATCTGTTGATTCAATGACTGATTTCGGTAATTAGCTATAAAAATTTTTAGCTAACTATCCGAAAAAGTTTATTATATTATAATATATTAATAATTATAAAAATTATTAATACACGTAGAACAATGTTATCTTACATAAGAAAAAGATATGCGCAGATACAAAAAATGCATCCTACAACCTTAAGAGAAACGATGCGAATGAATATTACGACTATTTTCATGAATATTTCCTTAATAGAAATTTTCTAACCAATGTTTCTCTATAGAAATAGTCATTGATATCAGTAAAAACGGTTCGACATGCAAAAGTCTTGAACAAATCTAAAACGGGCAGTCCAGAAAAAAGTTGTGTCTACCGGTCAATAAAGAAATCCTCGACCAGACTGGCCATTTACCATTACTGATTGCAATGTTAATTCTTATCAATTTATGCTTATTGATGCTTATGACTCTATTTCTCCATTAACAATGCACCCATTGTCTTTCTACCGTTGTTATTATTTCGACAAGACGAATCGAATATACCATTCAATTTTTTTTTTGCTTTATGTCGTCGATTATTCATACACAATTGGTAGCTTTTTTACTTGTTTAGATTTTGCAGTCGTTCTTTTCTTTCTAACAATGACTATTATGTATAGGCAAAAGACGTGCGCCCAACCAAGCGCATCATACATGATCATCGTTTTATGTTATTTGCATATTTTCTCTTAATTTCTCTCAATAAAAGATAATATATCACATGATGAGTGATACGCAGCCACTATTACCAACTGCAGATCGTTTTTCTATTGACGATAGCAATAGCAATCGAAGACGATCGGCGATTAACAAGTAAAAGAGAAGTTTTTTTTTTTATTACGCTCATAAATGCAACACTCGAAAGTGCTTAAATGATAATATAAGGAGAAATTATGATGTTTAAGAGGGCTTTCATGAACTGATTGAGTATTACTCCAATATACGAGGCACTTGATAAACTTTTTTTTTCGATTTTTTTGTTCATTCAACACATTAATGTCTATAACCACCAACCCTAAAATTTTAAGTTCTAATATCCTTCCTACGAAAAGTTAGTCAATATCAGCTTTTAGCGCTATCACATCTTTTTGGGAAAAAACAAGAAAAAGTATCCTATAAAAGATGTACTAAATTGCGTTCCAGCAGATCACTGAAGTTTTTCGTGGCATACATAGGAACATAGAGAATTAAAAACTGAATAAAATAAGCTATATTGATATACTATATTGTGTAACAACTTACATTTTATAAAGCCAACATGAGTCAAAGGATCATTTTGATCAATTCACATAAAACAGTGTACCTCCCGCTGTGTAGCAGGATCAGGAGACTCCAGATTGAATTTTATAAATGTTATGGAACTTTTTATTCTATACTAAATGCTAAAAAAAATATTTGAAAAGAAAATTTAGAATTTACTCAAAAAAGGGCTTACATCTCCGAATTTTTGATGATTTTTCAGTAGAATATGAATATTTTTAGCGGTTTTCATTGCCATACATAATGATAAAGCATAATAAATACGATTGTCATGACTGCCACCATGATACATGTTCTAGATGAGCTTTTAAACACTCTTCGTTGCATTTTTTGCTTCTTTTTTTCTTTTTTCTTGGTCTTTTCTTCCCGTCTCTCTTTTTCCGTCTCTCTTCACATGAGTCACTCTCTGAGTAAGAGATCATGGTTGGCATGTGATACATGAGAGGAGGATGCGTTGGAAGAGGAGGATATATGTTTGTTTTTCTTCTTTGTTGTGTGTGATTCTTGTGCATTTTTTCCCAAATATATACAGATGATGATTTGTCTTGAAGAAGAAGAGTGTGTGTCATTAACAACGATATTCGGAATTAGTGTGAAAAACTGCATTCAACTATATACGTTTTAGCAAAAGTTTTTCCTGCCCAAAATTGACCTGTGGGGAACCAGGGAGAAATATTTCTTTGAAGTATAGCTGTGGGGATCACAGATCAATTTTGGGCAGGAAAAACTTTTGTTAAAACATATATGGTTAGATGCAATTTTTCACACTGACCTAGAATATCGTATTTATTATGTTTTATCATTATGCTATGGCTACGAAAACCGCTAAAAATGTTCATATTCTACTGAAAAGCTATCAAAAATCATTAAAAATTTGGAGGTGTAATCCCTTTTTTGCATCAATTCTAAATTTTTTTTCCAATATATTTTACCATTTCGTAGAAAATAAAAAGTCGCACAACGTATATAAAATTCAGTTTGGGGTGTGGGTTACATCTGGTGTGAAGAGAAGATCGACACACACACACACCCTTTTCCATGGTACATCTGCTGGATGAATTGGCGTGTATCATAAGCTCGTGTAAATCTAATAAAGCCATAGAAATCATGTAACCTGTGGAATAATTTTCCTGATGTGGTTCACATATTGGGTATTGACCATTCATACCTGATTAACTTGGATTAGTTTGAGCTGTTAGAAATGATTATTTCGGCTAATTGAGAATTAGTTGAAAACATAGAGATGTTCCTACACGAACTATAGAAGGAACTTGTGAGATGTGAAGAGTGAAAAGTATGTGAACGAACGAGCAAAAATGTGGCCGTTCTCTACGAAAGCAGATGAAGAAGTGCGAGAGTTTAAATTAAAAGAGGTATCAACAACAATATACTTTTCATGTAGACTGTTCAATTGGCGTCAATATTTTGCTTTCACAAAGATTGATCAGAAGTATGAAAATTTGGATGATGATAATGATGGCACTAGAAACGAGCCAGTTATTGGATATTTTCAACTGGTAAGTGTATTAAGAGTGAATACATAGTGAATAACAAAGTGTTTATTTAACTTTTTGATAGTTTCGTTTTGCCGATCGGCTGGATCTTATCATGATATTTCTCGGATTATGTTTCGTCTTACTATATGGCATGAGCTCCACAGCATCTTTAGTCGTTTTTAGTCGACTTACGAGCGCATTTGCGCTGCAATCGTTTATTGGTCGATGCTCCTCACAGCAAAACATATCGGTTAGTATTAACAACAGCAAAGGATGTCCATGGAATGCTGAGCCAAATATTTTCAACTATGATTCATTACAAAAGTAAGTATTGATCGCAGAAGACATTGATGCATTCCAGCTTTTTTCATTATTCACTGTTCATCAATTTCAGACTCTGCCCAAATGACAGTACTACCTCATCGTTATTACGGTCGTTTCCTACGATCCAATTTCGTGAAAATGTGAAGCAATCATTACGATGGCTGTTAAGTAAGCAGGAAAAACTTAACTTTTCAGTCATCAACTAGAAGAATGGCTTGCACTTTGAATATATATAGTCATTGGTTCAATTCAACTCGTGTGCATTGCTGCTCAATATTGTCTCTTCACTGTGGCCGCTAAACGACAGATCTCTCGGATACGTATTCGTCTTTTACAATCATTTTTGCAACGCGTATGTTAAACACATTCATATTGACACAGATATAACGAATGGGAAGGAATTAATGACCATCTCATTGTTTTCTCGGTTTCTTCAATCATTATTATCGTTTAGACTTGAACTTTCTTTGAAACTATACACAGTGCTATTCTTTAAAAAATGATGTATTGTGAAACACAACTGAGATGGATTGTCGAAGTATATTGCGAAAAAACTGACTCCTATCTCTATCGTATTCAAAGTATTATGACACATATTGTTAGGAGTTTGCATTATGTGCAACACAGCTTGTGACGTTTTCAAAGGATTTTCGATGTGATGCTCATTGTTTCCCAAAGACATTGCAAAAAGCATAGATAGGTTCCCATTATAGTCACAATGATCCATGATGTTTTGTATTTTAATTCCGTAGAGATGATACTGAAAGCATTTATATTCGAAAACTATAGTCTTTCTTCTTTTCCAAAACATCACAGAATTCTATAGGACAATCAGATACAATTTTCAATTTTTTTTCTTTTTCTCAACTATTTCCCGGTGCAATTCTCATTCTTACATCGTCGTAGATTGTTCCATTATGTTTTCAGTTCATGATGTCAATGGATTTAGTAAAATCATCGTCGTATACAATGTGTTGTTTCAGATCAGAAAATTAAAATTTCTGAGATTATTAATATTCAAGCTTCAATATTGTAGTAAACTCCCTTCCCTCATTAGAAGCTCCCTTTGGAAGGATGGATGTGAAAGATATATTAGAAGCTCTCAAGGCTTCTATTACGACTGGGATAATTTCGAACTTTTTAACAGTTAATTCTGCTCTTCGAATTATAAGGTAGCATTAATTTTGCCTTCAGCAATTGAGAAATGCCCCTGGTGATGTCGAAATTTCATCATTAGACATAAACTTTAGAGACGACCAATATTTCATTTACCAACACTTGCAGCTGTAAAGAACACGTTTATGTATAGTCGTCGTTATATTGAAAGAGAAATAATTATTATCCACTAGTCATACATTCACTGATTTATATTTGTTTCTTTCATGGATGTGATGGCATATTTCGACGGTGAAAAAATACAACACATTCAGTCAATATTGAATAAATCTAAAGGAATTCTTTTCAAATTCATACAGGCTATCGTAATTAAGAAGACTAAAGTATCGAAATTCATATTCTACTTATTTTTGCAAAATTTTTGTACGAAAGTCGTAATAGTAGTCGCCCTAAAAATTTCGAGCGCTTGGACAGTTCAGAAGCGCTGTAGGCTTCTATTACGAAGGCGGGAGAGAGGGATGACAGGGAATTTAGTTTAAATATTGCAAGAGAAAAATTGACAAAATAAAAGAACGTGGGAATTATGTCTAATGGCTTCATATACTTCTAGGAGATTTGAAAAAATAAAGACTAAATTCATTGAACAAAAAATACCTTTTGTTGAGGGGGAAAAATATAAATGCACAGCGCACCTTTTGAAAAAAAGAGCTTATATATGAGCGATGATGAAGAAAGGAACAATTTGAAAAAACAACGAGGGACTATTTTTTGAGTAACAACAATTACAAATCCACGGTAGTTGATTATGAAACATGTGAATTGATGCTTTCACTTTATCTCTTTCTCATTTCTAGAATATTTCGTATTGCGATACAAATTCGATTAGTCAGTTCAGTGTCAAACTGTTCAAGTAAGTCATTTTCTGCCAATATTTGCAATAGAAATGATATCTGGCTCTCTTACCTCATAGTAACATCGACAATATGAGTAAAGCCGTTGGCTTTGAATTATCAATGTTGCTTGCAGCATTATTTTCCATTATTTGCTCTTCTTGTGTTGCTCTAATCATCAACTGGAAATTGACATTTGCTATAGCATGTACAGTGCCGTTTGCTATCGTCGGCTCATATGTATTTTCAAAGGTAAACACAACTACTAATGATTGATTTAGCTTATATTAATTCTAAAAGATTACTGTCAAAGAATCGAGAAACGAATTGGATGCGTACTCAAAAGCTGGCGAGATCGTTCAAGAAGTGTTCAGTTCTCTTCGTAGTGTGCTTTCGCTTAATGGTGAAAACTTTGAGGAAAAACGGTAAGAAATATATATATATATTGTTAAAGAAACTTTGTAACGTGTCAATCATGAGCATGTTCGGATTTTATTGTGAATCTAGATACGAAAACGAATTACGGCCGACTCGTAGGAGCAGTGCACGAAAGGGTGCTGCATTTGGTCTTCTCAATGGTTGGATTTATCTGGTAGGATACATGATTTATTCGATTGGTTTTGCCTTTGGCTTATTTCTCATGCATCACGACGGATCTGATAGACTCAGTTTCAATGGTCTTCTAGTGGTGAGTTATTCAGTTCACAAAGAAAGTTTTAAAAACCGATGGATTCTTGATGTTTGAGTAGATAGTGATTATTTTGGGACGGGCTATCACTAAAACTACATTTTATGGTCCTTTTTTTCAATCGTTGGAAGAAGCTCGAGGTGCTTTGGCGCCTGTTTTTCGATTGATCGATGAAGTACAGTTGTGCCTAATGTACGATCTTGTCTCTTCATTATTGTATCATTTAGGAAAAGAATACAAGTATGAATGAAACGCAAATATCGCAAAATTCAGTTTCTGCTGAAGAAACTATCAACATAAATGGTGATGTAAAATTTGACAACGTCAATTTTGCTTATCCAGCCCGATCGGACGTCTTGGTCTTACAAAATCTTACATTGACGGCACGTGCCGGTGAAACAACAGCTTTAGTCGGCTTAAGTGGTTCTGGTGGGTATTTTGCAAAAAAAAAACATATTGGAGTTTAATAGTCTATAGTTTGTTGATCGAATAGGCAAGAGCACATGTGTTTCCCTCCTACTTCGTTTCTATGAACCTTTATCGGGCCGCATTACAATTAATGATCGGTCGATCACTGATTGCAATTTCAAACAACTCCGACAAAAGATGGGTGTTGTCAGTCAAGAACCTGTACGTCTGTCTCTTTGTTTTCTGATTTTTGTGCTTAATACTATTTAATATAGATTCTGTTTGGTACAAGCATCTATGAAAATATTCGTTTTGGTAAAGAAAATGCAACAAGAGCCGAAATTAATGAAGCAGCACGCCAAGCCACTGCACACGATTTCATAATGCAATTACCGAATGTTTGCATCACATGATCTTCTCTAATGACATACATAATGTTTTCTGCTTTCGTAGAAATATGACACAATTGTCGGTGAACGTGGTGTTCAGTTGAGTGGTGGTGAAAAGCAACGTATCGCTTTAGCTCGTGCTCTTGTCAAACAGCCTGCCTTGCTTTTGTTGGACGAAGCAACAAGTGCTCTTGATAATACCAATGAAAAGATTGTCCAAGAAGCACTCGATCAAGCATGCAAAGGTTTGTACGTATCTTTCTGTTCCAATCGTATCATCTAAAGTTAGGCATAGGTCGGACAACTATTGTGATCGCTCATCGTTTATCAGCAGTTCAAAATGCACATCAAATTTATGTTTTGGATAATGGATGTGTTATCGAACAAGGTACACACGAGGCACTGATGTCACAAGAAGGAAGTCGATATTGCGAGATGATGAGAGCTCAACAGAACGAAAACACAGAAAATGATATCGATGGAAAAACGAACACTGCACCAATCGAAGATTACGATCAAAAACAAATATGTACGTACAGAATTTCAAAAAAAGAGAATATTTTGAACAACATCATTTGTTTCGATTAGCTGAACATTCTCTGCATCCTAGCTATAGTGAATTTGACGACGAAAATAAAGTAAAGAACATGAATTTAATTGTGTCCAGATGTGTTTTGCATGCGTAATATTCTTTTAATAGGCGTCATCCGATATGAATTGTCAACCTGTCTTTTTGCGACTTTTGTTTATGAATAGTCCCGAATGGATCATCATTCTGATCGGCTGCATGACCTGCCTCATAATTGGGGCAAGTCAAACCATACATGCTGTTCTACTCTCTCTTACAGTATCCGTAAGTCATTTTCGCGCACAGAAAAACCAAGAGTATCGTCATCGGTTGTTCAAAGGCATTTGGAACGTGTACCTACGAAGAACGAAGTCATAAAATTTTGAAATTTTCTCTTCTCTTCTTGTTCATGGGTATTGGTCTTTTGATTATACGTTTTATTCAAGTAGGAATATATGGCATAAAATGTTTTATATTTTCTGCATGAATAGTACACCGCATTTGCTTTGTCTGGCTCGAAATTAACTGAACGTATGTGCATTAAAGCTTTTGCGCACTATTTACGCCAAGAAATGGCTTTCTTTGATCGTCCTGAAAATAGTTCTGGAGCTATTTGTCACCGTCTTTCATCTGATGCATTGGCTATTCAGCAAATGGTTGGCAGTCATCTAGGCATCGTTTGTGAATCAGTCGCGACATTCGGAGTTGGTATTGTTATCGCGTTTTTGTTCAGCTGGCAGTTGGCATTAATCCTATTCTTTTATATTATCATTTTGTTTTTTGTTGCTTTCATGCAAATACGTTGGAAAGCACAATTGAATAAACGCCGTGATTGTGTTCTTGGATTAGCAAATTCGGTAAGAGAAACATGTCGATTAACATATCATGTATACTGAAATATTGATGTTGAATCTTCTTTTCTTAATAGTTCTCTGTCGAAATCATTCACAATATGCGTACAGTGAAACAATTGGCAAGTGAGACAGAATTTCTGCGTCAATTTTCTGATTTAGTTCTTGAGGAGTTCAAGTCAGTCTTTCAATAACTTTTTTCCCTAATCTTCATGCAATATTTCTGGCCATAGAATTCATCGAAATGATCTAGTAATATCCCCTCTATTACAAAGTCTCTATTGGGGAACGAGACCATTGATCGAGTTGGTTATCTTTTGGCAGGCTTTCATACTTGTTGAACAGAAAGAACTGAATATGAATAACCTGAATAAGTACACAAATAAAAAGCTTTAAGATCTATTTTATCTACATATTCTTCTAGGGTGTTTGCCTATTACATTTTTGCCTTGGAATCCGTACGATGCATCACGACTTTGTAAGTACTTCCGTCAATCAACTATGTTTTCGCAAGTGTTTTATTTAGAACGCGACAGATGAGTGACTCATTGTCAGCAGCTCAAAGTTTCTTCAGTTTGTTCGATCGAACATCAGCTATTGATAATAGTTCCACTGATGGTCAACAATTGGTAAGTAATTCATTTCGTAAAAGTCTCGACGTTGAATAGATCCCTCTTATCTCATTGTTAAAATATGTCGATGGTAGAGTGATTTTCAAGGCGCAATCGAATTTAGTGAAGTCAAATTTGCATACCCATCTCGACCGACATCCTGCATCCTGGATAAATTTCAATTGATCATCAAATCTGGTGAGCTTATAACGTATATTTTAAGTTTAGTTTATGATTAAATCTTTGTATTTGTCAATTAGGCCAGCGTGTGGCTCTTGTAGGTATGTTGAAGTTAGTTTTTAACCATTCAAAGCACTTATATAATCCATATACAAAGGTGCATCTGGTTGTGGCAAATCAACCGTCATTCAGCTTTTAGAACGATTCTACGATCCTATACAGGGTCGAATCGTAAGTACCTTTCTTCTATGCTGTCAAAGTATGAGTGGAAACACTTGACTAATGAAATCTAGTATCTCGACGGTGTTGACATTCGAAAGCTGAATATTCAATGGCTTCGCTCAACTCTTGGTCTCGTTAGTCAAGAGCCTATATTGTTCAATTTGACTATTGCTCAAAACATAGCCTATGGAAAAGAGAATACTTCGATTGAAGATATTATCGACGCAGCTACCAAAGCCAACATTCATGATTTCATTCAGCAGTTACCTCAAGTGAGTGAAGAATAACACATGATATTTGATTGTGTCTTTGCACCATGACAACAGGGTTATGAGACTAGAGTCGGTATGAAAGGTAGCCACTTGTCAGGTGGTGAGAAACAACGTATTGCTATTGCTCGAGCTCTTCTTCATCGGCCAAAAGTATTGCTGCTAGACGAAGCAACAAGTGCTATGGACTCGTACAATGAACAGGCTCGTTTTCTTATCATGCTCATTAATCAAATAATCATTTCCAATATGTTTAGATCGTGCAAAAAGCTCTTGAAAGAGCTCAAACAGACGATCCAACTCGAACTTCACTGATCATTGCTCATCGTCTGTCGACCATTCGTTCGTGCGATTTGATCTGCGTTCTTGAGAAAGGACATCTGGTAGAAAGTGGTACTCACGCAGACTTACTGAAACAAAGTGGAGTCTACTATCATATGATTCTTCGCAGCAATACTTCATAAAATAATCTTCGTCGTTATTTTAACGAAACTGAATAACAATTGAAATAAACTCTTCTACTTTTCTTTTCTGCGTTAATTTTTCGAACAAATCTTTTTTACTAATCTTCTTCTCTTAGCAACTCAAAAGACATATTGACAAATTTAAAAAAATTTTCTAATTGAACTCATTATCAAGATGATTGATAAGGCAGAGAACAAATCCCTCTCTTTCGCTTCTAACGATGGACTTTATGCCAAACCTACGGTTTTGATTCAAACAGAAAAAAAAATCAATAAGAATAACAAAGAAGAGAAAAAAATCGATGTGAAGCTACCACAACACAATCTGTCACCACAATCGTGGTGGCGATTTGATTGAACGCTGTGTGCCAACTAATAAATGAGCTCAATAAAGGGCGCACGTTCACGAG